TACTTAGTAAGTCCCATGAACCTCAAGTAGGGGCTTATGGCGTGGAGTGGTTTTCGGGCTGAGGGTCGTGGGACTCCCAGAGACCCAGGAGAATAATATAGGGGCCCGGATAATTAAAATAGGGCTTTAGGGCTTAGGGTTTAGGGTTTCTTGATGCATGTTTGACTATACTTCTAGTCAGGGCCCCCCAAATAGTGTTGGTAGTTATCTAGGCCCAGGTATGAACTAACAGATGTGCAGTGGAAAAGCCGAAACACCGAAAGCTCGCCGTTCTCCCATTCACGAACCCCTGGGTTTTTGGGCTGTGGTTTAGGGTTAAGCGGTAGTACCACTAAGAATGCAACGAATCTTCATAAGAACAATAAGAACATCCGTGGTGATCACAATGTTCCTACTCAAAACCAGGTCGGAATCAGAGACGGGTTTAGGCAATGACAAGCCCGATACAGGTGCAGCTGCGCTTTCTTTCATCACGCTCGTGGCAAACCTAGCACGCTCAAGCCGATGGTTTGGGGTAGTTTGTAGTCGAATCATCACAAAAAGTCCTAGGTACTCAGTGTTCAGTCTGCTGTATTACAACGATTTCCCGGTAAGTATAGGTACCTGCCAGAGGACCCTGATTCGGAAGAAGCCCCTGTTGTATGGGCGCTAACTGTGCCTCGCCGTGGGGCTTAGCGTTTAGAACCAATGCTGGCTGCATGCAGCCACTGTTCAAGGGTCTTAGGTTTAGGGCTTATACAACGGCCTTAAGGTTCAGGGTTTCAGTTCAGTTGCTGAGATCACAATTACTTCTTAGTGTGATGAAGTATTTCAGGCTTAACAGGATCCAAAGACTTCAAATAATCCCCACCTGCCTCATCGGGCTTGTTCCAGTCGATCACACTGTAGATGGGGCAGTCACGCGGATCTTCCTCAGCTGCTAATACTACGGCTTCTGCTGCTGCGACTGCTACGTATAGTCTTGCTATAGCTTCAGTATTGATGCTTTTATTGTTCTTCGATTTTACCACTTGAACTAGTGCTGAAATTACTATCGATGCAGCCTCTGCCTTGTTGTGAACCAGGCACTTGCAACGAGGGAAAAGTCTCTCCCAACGCCAGCTCCTACACAAACTCCCGCGTTGTGCCGTTGCGTGACTGTTCTGGGGTCTTAGGGTTTAGGGTTTAACTGTGTAACGCGGTGAAAGTGAGGATTCGGATGCTCAGGCGCAAAGCAGCCGAGCTTCGTATGCATCACAGCCTTTCCACCGACCGATTCGAAGCACATGGTGCAGGTAGGTCAAGACCCCGTAGAGCACGGCGAAGATGGCGACCCAGCCGGCATGGGAGCACGTGAACGGGATGCGACAGGCAAAGAACGTGATGAGCCTCAGACGATCGGTAGAAACAAAAGTATCACCTAAGTAAAGCCTCCAAAGCACAAAGCCCTCAACTCCCTCGGATTCGTCATGATTTGGTGGTCCGAAAGATTCCCTGAATCGTAGATCTAAATTAGCTGCAGCTCGAGCACACAAACTCACGCACGCATGTGTATGCATATATATATATAT